AACAAAAAAAGCCAAGGATTGGGAAAATGAAAGGTTAGAACTGTTGTAATACTCAAAATGATTTTGCTATTTATTTTTGAAGTTTAAGTTGTATAAAATAAATAGGTAAATATAAGGTAACTAGGTAACTATGTGTTAGCAACTGTACATTGTAAAACTTGTAGTGTACAAAAGATAAGTACTAAATACCATTTATAAACTAAATACTAAAAACCAATAAGTAGTAAATTGTTAAATTAATGTTTTACTTAAAATAATCAGATAATTGGTTGTTGTTTATTGACTTCATATTATGCCTGGTAGGAGTCACAATTTCTAAAATAAATATAATGTGTTCTCAATAAATATGTGATATGACTTGTTTTACTTTTCAACACTTAGAGTAAAACACCAAGTCGAATACTTGGGTTTGAAAGAAAATATTAGAGTAAGAAGAGCAGGTTATGCTTTTCGTCGAGTTTTTGATAAGTTCTTACGCAGGTAATTGTTACAATCTTTATTTTTTAAATAATTCTAATTAACTCAAAGAGTTAAAATGTAAATATAGATAAAAATAGTTTACAGTTTTCTGCCAATAAAATTTTATTTTCCAATAAAAATAATATAATAAATAAAATTTAAAAAATTGTACAAATAGGTATAAGATTTTATCAAAAGAGACTTGGCCTGAATGGAAAGGAGATATCAAATCAGGAATAATGCACCTAATGACAACTGTTAATATGGAACCTGATCAATGGCAACTTGGAAAGTCAAAAGTTTTTATCAAAAATCCAGAATCAGTAATTATTTACCATTGATTTTAATATTTTTATAATAATATTAATAATAATAATAATAATAAAAATATATGTATACACTGTCCTCCAAAACATTAGCAACCAAATTAAATAAAAAAAATTTTCTACTTTGATTACTTATTACAGCAATTTTGTGTTTTTAATTATGCTTTAAATGAAAAAAATGGTATAAATAAACATGATTTTTTGTTTGTATTGGTATTTTAACGCAAAAACGTCGTCCTCCAAAACATTAGCAACTTTTTTAAAACTACCCTAAAAAATGTTAATATCAATAGTTAATGGCATATCCTTTACTTTTTAGGATCAAGGAACATCTTCTTGGAATAGACTCTACGAGTTTGTTAATTTTTTCTTGTGTAATCTCATTCCACTTGGTTTCATTAGCTTTATATAGCTCATCTGTATTTTTGAATGGTCCTTTGTATTCTAGGGAGAGTTCAATTTAATACCATAAATTTTCAATCGGGTTGAGATCAGGTGATTGAGCTGGCCATTTCATTACTTTAATTTGATTTGTTTCAAACCATTATTTAACGAGTTTAGAGGTGTGTTTGGGGTTGTTGTCTTGTTGAAATGTCCATAAAAGAGGCATATTATCAGTATGAGGAACCACTTTTTGCTTGAGAATATCACAATAAACATACTGATCCATAATGCCATTTATTCGGTAAATAGGTCCAACTTCACTAAAACCAGAAAAACAACCCTAAACCATTGCACTTTTTCCACTGCCACGCTTGATTGTTCCTCTTGTGTATTTAGGATCTAACATTTACCTTCAGGTCTACGTACCTTTAAATTTCTATCAGGACCTTTTAAATTGTACTTTAATTCATTGCTCCAGAGTATTCTATTCCAATCATTTATAGTCCAGTCTCTATGAGAATTTGCAAACTCAATTCTAGCTTTGCAAACTCAATTCTAGTCCTGAAAGTTGTAACCGTCTACAGACTGTATTTTGAGAGACAAAAAGTTTCATTTTTTTAATAGTATCAGTGCTGTCAAATTGATTTTTTTTTAGAATGACGAATAATTTTTCTATCGGTGAAACGACATGTTTTGAGTGGTCTTCCGCCCTAATGTTCTGTTTCTAAAGGACTACCTTTATTAAATCGTTTGATTATTCAACATAAAATTGACTTGGTAATGGAGTATTTTGTTGCCATTTTTTTGTTTGTTTGACTAATTTCTTGTAATATTTTACAATACATTCTTGAAAAGCTAAACTATACTTGTTTCCTGCCATTATAATCCAAAACAGCATATATACGCGATCATAAATTAATATTGTAATAATTGCAACACTCCATATTCATCTCTGGACAAAAATTAACAATTAGTTGATTCTCATTGGTTAAGTACTAATAATTATAACACTACAATTCCCTTGGGCATTATTTCCACATTTGTGCTGCTGATTTTCCGTGAGTTTATGTGAGTAATTATAAAAGGTTGCTAATGTTTTGCAGGACCACGTTTTTGCATTAAAATACCAATAAAAACAAAAAAAACAAGTTTATTCATCTTCAAGTAGCCTTATTATGTACAAATCTTTTTTTTTATATGTAATATTGAGTAATTTTTGTATTCAAAGCGTAATTAAAAAAATAAATTTGCTGTAATTAGTATTCAAAGTAGAAGAAAAGCATTTTTTTATTTGGTTGCCTATGTTTTGGAGGACAGTGTATATATATATATATATATATATATATATGTATATATATATATATATATATATATATATATATATATATAATATATATATATATATATATATATATATATATATATATATATATATATATATATAATAAAATAATACTAGAATTGAAAAAGTTTTGAAAAAAAAAATTTTCAAGGGGTGCCCCAAGACTCTTGAACTCTTAACTGATCCCTATAATTATCAAAAAAATAGTTCTTTAAAAGTATATCATGTTGGGCCTCAAAATAAAAGAAATTATATAAAAATTTTAAAAAATACCATCATTTTATAAAAAAATAATTATTTTAGGCTAGGAAATGACATTTTAAAACTAAAAATTAAAAATATGCATTTTTACAAAAATTTTCTATTATAATTTTTTTTTCTCAATGTTTTTTATTTTGTTTTAAAAAGTGTTATCCTTTTTTTACAAGGGTGAAATAAAGGGAAACATTCCTTAAGTGAAATAAAGTCACAAGTTATGTGAAATAATTATCACATAAAAATGTTAAATTAGTGATTTCTAATTATTTTATTATAAAATAACTAGAAAATTAGTTTTTTAATTATTTTATAATAAATTTTGGAAACAAAATCGCTTAATTTAATTTTAAAATTTTAGGGTCAGCATTTGGCAACATCGACCTAACTGACGACCTCAGTGTTTGAGGTCAGCAAAAATTTGCTGACCTTTTATGATAACCTCTTTGTGTTAATTTTTTTTTTGCCGACCTGATGCCAACCTCTAACAGTTTAAGGTCGCAATTTATTGCCGACCTCACTTTTTCTCACTGATTCCGAGGGTTGATATATATATATATATATATATATATATATATATATATATATATATATATATATATATATATATCAACCCTTAGAATTAGTGAGCAATAAATTGCGACCTTAAACTGTTGTGTGCTTTTAAAAGAAATAGGTGCAGTAAAATATTGAGTTCATTTTCTTCTTTAAAACATCATAAAAACCCTTCCATATTTGCTACAGACTTAATTTTTATTTTTTTGAACAACATTATTTTATTTATTTTAACTTAATTTTTTTATTGATTTATAGATAGAGAAATAACAAGAGAATTAAAAATTTCAGAGAATTGTGCCAGATATACTCTTAAGACATTTAAAACAACAGGTGGCATCCAATGTCAGGAAGGTTAAAAAATAACTGAGTGTGAAAATAGTCATATATTTTGTCAAGTAAGAGCCACTTCGAGGCTTAGTTATCATAAACACATTCAATAAAAAATGTATTTCTTTAAATACAGTTAGAAACTTTTGCTAAGGAAAAAAATTGGTGTTTATGCAACTGTTAAAAAACTTATGCTAGCGCCCAGAGACTGGCAAGATTAAGTTTGTATAAGGAGAAAATTGGGTGGTCTTTGGAGAAGTGGAAGCAAATAATTTTTAGTGATGAAAGTAACTTCGAAGTAATATATATATAAAAAGCAAAGTTCTTGTTAATAGATTTAAATCAGAAAAGTATAGTAATCACTTTGTTGTACCAAGGTTGCAGAGTTAGGGCCGTTGTTTTGGTAGTTGGGGCTGTTGTTTTAGTAATTGGGGCTGTGTTAACTTTAACAGAGTAGGTGTGTGTAACATTTATTCTTGTGTTATTATTTATTTACTGTTGTGTTATTATATTATACTGTTGTGTTATTATATTATTGTTTTATTGTTGTAACATATGTTGTTTTGGTATTTGGGGCTGTTGTTTTGGTAATTGGGATTGTTGGTATTTGGGGCTGCTTTAACTTTAGCGGAGAAGGCGTGTGTAACATTTATACAGTCCAAATCAACCAACATAAATATATAGAGATGTTAGAGAACTGTATGGTTCCATCAGTGGAAATTGATTGAATTGTATTGTACACATACATATATATATATACACATACATATATATATATATATGTATGTGTATATATATATATATGTATGTGTATATATATATATGTATGTGTATATATATATATATATATATATATATATATATATATATATATATATATATATATATATATATATATATATATATATATATATATATATATATATATGCACACACACAATTGTTTTTTAACTTTTAGTTATTTTTACTTGAAGAACATAGAGAATTTTCAATTTTATATATAAACTTCATCTTACTATTAATATATATATATATATATATATATATATATATATATATATATATATATATATATATATATATATATATATATATATATATATATATATATATATATATATGTGCACATGTTTATGTATATATATATTTTTTATATACATTTATATATATATATATATATATATATATATATATATATATATATATATATATATATATATGTGCACATGTTTATGTATATATATATATATTTTTTATATACATTTATATATATATATATATATATATATATATATATATATATATATATATATATATATATATATATATATATATATGTGCACATGTTTATGTATATATATATTTTTTATATACATTTATATATATATATATATATATATATATATATATATATATATATATATATATATATATATATATATATATATATATATATATATATATGTGCACATGTTTATGTATATATATATTTTTTATATACATTTATATATATATATATATATATATATATATATATATATATGTGCACATGTTTATGTATATATATATTTTTTATATACATTTATATATATATATATATATATATATATATATATATATATATATATATATATATATATATATATATATATATATATATATATATATGTGCACATGTTTATGTATATATATATTTTTTATATACATTTATATATATATATATATATATATATATATATATATATATATATATATATATATGTGCACATGTTTATGTATATATATATTTTTTATATACATTTATATATATATATATATATATATATATATATATATATATGTGCACATGTTTATGTATATATATATTTTTTATATACATTTATATATATATATATATATATATATATATATATATATATATATATATATATATATATATATATGTGCACATGTTTATGTATATATATATTTTTTATATACATTTATATATATATATATATATATATATATATATATATATATATATATATATATATATATATATATGTGCACATGTTTATGTATATATATATATTTTTTATATTCATTTATATATATATATATATATATATATATATATATATATATATATATATATATATATATATATATATATATATATATATATATATATATATATATATATATATATATATACATATATATATATATATATATATATATATATATATATATATATATATATATATATATATGCACACACGCAATTTTTTTTTAATTTTTAGTTATTTTTACTTGAAGAACTTAGAGAACGTAAGTTTGATGGGTTTGCTCGTGCAATTCAAAAGTGTTATAGGCGATATAAATCTCGGCAAATGTTTGTCCAACTAAAAGAACAAGCATGTGACATTCTTGGAAATCGCAAGGAGAGGCGAAAGTTTAGTATTAACAGAAATTTTGTTGGAGACTATATTGGTCTTGATGACAATCCTGCATTAAGAAGTTTAATGGAAAAAAGGGAGCGTGTTGAATTTGCACACACTGTTTTTAAGTATGATAGAAGATTTAAGGTAACTGTTTTAATGTTTTAGGTATTTTTTATCAATGAACTATAGATATATATTAAACTCTTATATATTAAAGTAATAAGGAAACCTTTTGAGTTTTATTAAAAATATTATTTCTGAACATTAAATTAAAAATCTGTTTATGGTTGATAAACTTTTTCCTAATTAAATAATTTTTTTTTAATATTTCTATGGGTTATATATACCTTTATTATTCTAGTTATAAAAGGTCATTAAAAAAAATAAAATATCTTCAATGAAAGGTGTTCTTACATTTTAAATGGAAAAATAAGTAGTGTTGTTACGACTTTTAAATAATTTGACTGTCGACAAAACTGACTAATATATTTTCTAATGTTGACTAAAATCGATTAATACATTTTTGAAATCGACTAAAAGTCGATTTAGTCGATTCTGTGATTTTGCCGTGATTTTGTGCTTCCGTGACTACTTATATGGAACTTGTAACTAAAGAGTTATGATGTTGTGACAAGGAGGTGGGGAAGGGGGGAAGGTGTCTAAAACAGTCATAGTTTGCGTGATGTAATTTGAGTACAGCCCCTAATAGTTATAATAGTAGGGGAATATCGGTTAGCCCCTGACAGCGGGTAACTTGGGACACTTGATGTACAGCTTAAACTAAAGAAGCTATGTAATTTTAAATACTATATAAAAACATTATTTGAGTGAAAATATGGCATATGCAAAATATCTATCATAATATGCTGAAACGATTGGGTGGGACTGCAAGATATTATTTCCCACCTCCTCATGAGCAATATATCATAATTTGATTCACTTATTAATATACCTATTTTTTATGTAAACTAATAACTTTTTATTGGTTAAAGATTTTTATTTACAATGTTTATTAAAAAAGAAATTTGTTTAATACTTTAATTCACTGGTTTTAAAACTAGTATTTGTGAATGAGGCATGATCAGGTGGTATCGGACACTTGATTGGACGGTGGTTCCAGACAATTTTATCTGTTTACATATGAGAAATGAGCAACTTTTTTATACAAATAATAATACATTTAATATAATAAAGAAAACCATAATAGTAATTCATTTAATTCCTATAAAAAGACCTAAATTTTGAAAAAAGTGTTTTGAAAGTGTTTATTTTTATTAATAAAAAGGTAATGTTTATATTTCTAAATGATGACATTTTCATTCCCATTCCTTATATATCAGAGTTTTTAAAGGCAATTTTTTTAAAAATGTGTTGAAAACAGTCCAAAGCTAATTTATTATATATTATATTTGTGTCAAACTAG